CGAAGTAATGTATTCTATTAGAAAAGGTCAATCAACTAAATGTTATATTTTACCTAAATCAATCAGTATAAAATAACAGGGGTGAATGATGCAGCATAGCTTAACCTAACCTTCATTGGACAGATGTTTGATTTAATTTGCAGTCCATGCAGAAGTACATCAGACTCAGTGACCATTACAAATTATGTTTTATAATTTTTTTTTTTTAGTTGTAGGTGGACCTTTATTTTTTATATGATGCTGGGGATTGAACCCAGTGACTCACACATGCTAGGCAAGTGCTCTACCACTGAGCCACAACTCCAACCTACAAATTATATTTTTAATGAATGTGTGGTCCTCTTTGTCAGCCATAAAGACTATAGAAATAAATAATTGAAAATGCATGGAATACCTGGCAGGTAAATCTTATGGGAACAAATCCATAGATGTGCTCTGGAAACAAATTTAACATTACATGTAGTTTTAGAAGAACATAATGAAGATCCTGGGGAAAAGAGTCCCTCTCAACTGGGAAGTTTTTAATTGGCATGGCTACATGGRATACAGTTACATCAGGATTGCAAGTCCAATTAGCCAGGAGTTGACGAAAATCTGTTCTGTGTTTTCTGAACTTGAGAAGAACAAATGAAAAGAAACCCTGAACACACATTAGCTTTCCTTCTTTTTATTTAGCAAGAGTAGGAACGAGTTTGGGTCAAGAAATTGATCGACTCTGTTGTCTCTAGCACATTAACATTTTTCACAACCATTGAGCAGTTCCTTGGGAGGTTGCTGTCCTGTAATTGTCATGTCCAGTTCTGCTACGTGGTTGTAACAATAAGAGCAGCTCCRCTGATTGATGAACTGGGTACCACCAGACATTATCTTAGCACCTTCCTTCTCCTGGATGCTCCATATTCTGAGTAGTTTGATAGTACTGCAAATTGTTACATCCTTGTGGCTTTAAAAAAATGGTTTATTAGTTTGGTTATAAAATATATGCATTTTAAAAATCCTTTTCCAAAAATGGTGTCATATGCATCCTCTCTTCCCCTTTTTAAGTGATGGATAAGTTTTTAAATTTTTTTT